TATATATATTATCATATTTAACTGCAAAATGGACACCTTTTATAAAAATGTACACAGAGCTAGACACATTTACATTTTGGTAAAACAAAATAGATCCCTAAATATCATACAGAATATAAAACTTCTTGAAACTTTGAATGATCACATGCAGGTTAGGACAGGAAGTGGATTCCAGCAACAAAAATGTTCAATTTCGACATTATTGTTCAACGACAGCTGAAGATGCTTGAGAATCCAGATATTTTCATCTCTTCTGTGCTCTAAAAACGCACAGCTAAGGAAAAAAAACACATCATCTGGGGTTTTTTGTTGTTGTTTTTTTAAAAGAATGTTCATACATTTTATATAATGACAATTACTCAATAAAGGCTCCTATATGTAGCGCACAGTTTGATCGGATTCATCACCAATTTTCCCCTGTGAGAATTGCAGTCAGTTACTTTCAGCATTTCTATTTAGTGCTAGCATTCACAGATTAGTAAAAATAATCGGTGCATTATTCCAGCAAGAGAAGAGAAATCCTGGCCTTCGTGTGATTATTTGTAAAAATTAAAGACAGTATTCTTGCCTATAATGTTAAAGAGGGAAACGACTAAATAGCTTTATTTAAAAAACAAAACAAAAAAACCCCCACCTGAAATACTTTTTATTTAAATGGAAGAATTTAATTTCATTTACCAGGTTATTTTAATAATGTAAGCAAACAGAAATGCTCTTTTTAATAAAGATGTTTATGTAAGAAAATATAATTATGAGGAAAAAGAATTCCACACTACTTCATGACTACACACAGTCAATACAAATAGGAGAGAATGTGCATGATAAGGAGCAAGCAACTGTGTCCTCATGCAAACTTTGGTTTACACTTCAATTCAAAACAGTAAGAAACTAAAAGAAAATCCTGGAAAAATGCATCCTATGTACACAAAGCAACTCTTTTACACGCTTGTAATAAATATATATTATTCTTCTATATATTATCATCACTTTGTCATGTGCAGTCAGAAATACATTTATTATTTCATCCATCTTGTTGAATAAGTCTCACATATGTACAGATGCACTCTGTACCTCCCTGCGCTTACGCAATGCATATTTGGCCCTTTGCCTCATTAACACAGAGCGTGGAAATCTGGGAAAACTTAGGGACAAAACAAAAACCTCTTTTAGGAAAGTGATCATGACTGAATTTAATTTTTAACAGATATACACAGAAAGAAATCAGAAAGAATTCTCCTGCTGATAGATGGAAATAAAGGCCCATAATGAGTTTGACACCACAGCAGTGCCAACCTGATCCCCCTTTTTTGTTTTTTTAGGTAGCTTCATACCCACACTGATCATCTATAATTTCTGTGGTGGGATGGTTACTTTTCACTTGTCTTGTTCTGCAGGTAACTGAAGAGTGCCTCTAGTCCTTTAGTTGAGCACCATAGCTGCTTCAACATCTGACATTCCTTCTCATTCACTTCCTCCAGGACGGACATGAGGATACTCCTCACCAGGCATTTAGACTCTTCTAAGACCTTTAAAACACACAGAAAAAGGGGAAAGAGCTATTTCATCTCCATCCTTAAGAGACACCTTTGCCTTCTGCATTGTGTAGATCAACAAGACTTACCACTGCGCTACAAGATGCCATTTCCTTCACACGCAGCATCACCTCTTGGTTGAATGTGGTTGGCCAGAAGACCTGCGACACGAGCCCTCGACTGCATGCTTCTTGTGCTGTGAGTTTTCTTCCACAGAAGAGCATCTCATTGGCCTGGAATGAAGGAGAAAAAATGCTATCGGTGGAACCACATAACATTACGTGGAATTTTGCTAAAAAATAGATTTTGATGGGACCCACAAGAGCAACGCCCAGTATTTGAGGGAAGGTGTAAGAGGAGCATCCAGAAGGAGTGAGGTGCAGGGCTGCACATGGAGTTTGGAACCAGGCCCTTTCACTGGCCCACACCACATCGCACAGTGGCAGGATGGATGCTCCCAAGCCCAGAGCAGGGCCGTTTATTGCCACCACAATGGGTTTCTTGAAGTGGATGAATGCCAACACAAAGTCCCTACAGGGGTCACAGAATGATCAGCAGTGACTCTATCAAGACTAATGGTAACACACAAAAGAGTTGCTGCCTGTAGTGGAGTGATTTCTTCTTACCGTACAGCATCTGCGATGCGGCTGCTCTCTTTTCTGCGGTCAGTGGACAGACGCCCTATCAGATACGATGGCTCCAGGCCACTGCAGAAAACAGTCCCCACTGAACTGAGCAGTAGTAATTTACTGTCATCCGCAGCGGCATTACCCAAAGCTCGACAAACTTCTTTCATGATCTGAAGAGAAAGAAGAACAAATGTGTATTACATTCTTAACCAACAAAAGAGGACTGGTTGGGAAGGAAAAAGCTTAAATATAGGTTCTGAATCCTCAGAGTAAAACTGAAGATCCACTAGGTACATCATTATTTTTTATTGCAATGCCCAGAGCAGAGAAAAGAAAAAAAGACCAGCACTGGGACTACAAGACTTCCTTCTGCATCCTTGCAGTTAACAGAGACTGAAAACTGTGTAGCACATCACAGCATCTAACAAAATTTCACTTTGAAGGAACAAGCTTGAGATATTCAGTTTAAACATTGTTTTACTGGCTAGAGATATATACATATATATTGGTATCGTAGTGTATATATATATAATGAGTGTAGTGCGAGTATATATATATAGTATATAATGAGGTATGTTAAGTTGTATATTATATATGTGATAATATATAATATTATATATGATAAATATATACCAGTGGAGCTAGTGAGCGAACATAGCATAACTACCATCTAAGCTTATATAATATATTGTTGTGTATCGTTGCACCCCATATATTTATTTTTATTTATTTTTCCCCCCAACACCCAGCACGCCCCTGCGGGCGGTTTATCCTTCAAGCTCGGGTCCTCTACCAGAGGCCTGGGAGCTTGAGGGTCCTGCGCAGTATCTTAGCTGTTCCCAGGACTGCGCTCTTCTGGACAGAGATCTCCGATGTTTTCCCGGGATCTGCTGGAGCCACTCGCCTAGCTTGGGAGTCACCGCACCTAGTGCTCCGATTACCACGGGGACCACCGTTACCTTCACCCTCCACATCCTCTCGAGCTCTTCTCTGAGCCCTTGGTATTTCTCCAGCTTCTCGTGTTCCTTCTTCCTGATGTTGCTGTCATTCGGAACCGCTACATCGATCACTACGGCCGTCTTCTTCTGTTTGTCTACCACCACTATGTCCGGTTGGTTAGCCACCACCATTTTGTCCGTCTGTATCTGGAAGTCCCACAGGATCTTAGCTCGGTCATTCTCCACCACCCTTGGGGGCATCTCCCATTTTGACCTCGGGACTTCCAGGTTATACTCGGCACAGATGTTCCTGTACACTATGCCGGCCACTTGGTTGTGGCGT